TTTAGTCCACGGCGACGGTATAATTCCCGTCACCTGTTCTCCGCTTGGTCCTGTACTTTTTAATCCTGGTAATGGCATTAAGGGGGCCGCATTAAAACGTAACGCGATTCATAAAGGGGGTGGTCGAAACACGCGAAATAACCTGTTGGGGTGAAGCGAAGTTATCGAGGCGTGCTGCACGAAATTTCGCGCGGTGTTCCCCGTTTATTGCATAAAACCCTTCCGGGGTGTGTACACGCAGCCAATATCCGCTCATAGTCGGGAGGGAAACTCGATTTGTCTCGCCGGATTTCCGCCATTCGAAAAGACTCACCCCATCCCCATGTATTACCGGTTGCGTTCCATCATGAGATCTGGCTGCACGCTGAAACCACCCTTTTTGCAATAAGACCGACGGGACGAAAAATTATTCAGTTTTGTTTTGGTAATATTCTCTCGAACGTTTACTGTGCAATATACACAGAAATCGGGGATATTAATTCGTGGAGTTGTTATAAACGTTCGTACACTGATAACTAGGACTTTTGGGCAAATATTGTTCTTGAAAGATTTGTTTATGGAAACTAGATGTATAAAGATTTCTTTATTGCATCGATGGTTTTATTAGGTACCAGTGAAAATGAAAACTGGCTTGGATTTATCGAACTTTTTAAGTGTACGGTAACCGATGACGCTATAGTGGCGGCAAATGAGTATAGGAATTATCGATAAGTGTGACGTCTGAAAATTCAGTGCTGAGGAGCCTTCGAACACTCGGTAATCAACGTGTTAATATCGTGAATTTCAGACCATTTGGTACGCTATAAATGCATAATATCTGTAAGTGCAGAAGTAGTGAGAAGAGTGCTCCAATCCTTGAACTGCTGCGATCTTTGAAGTGTTACAATTCTCGAAGTCTGATCCACATATTACAGGACACCATATACATTCTGTAAACGGTAAAGCACGTCAGCCTAAAGAGACCCACCCCGTATTATCGGTTATACGTTCGAAACTCCTGCTACACGTTTCTCACCCTTTCCACGCTGAACTAACCCCCCCGTTCCCAATAAGACCGACGAGACTAAAAAAATTGTTCAATTTGTCGCGCGTGTACCAGACGGGTTTCCGTCGACGTCGCGTAATTTGTCCCGTCGGTGGGTTAGCTGGAAAAGTAGTACAGCCGGGGCTGCTCGAGACACCCTCGAGTGGCATAGAGAGTGATACACTTATGGATGAGTCGACGTATGTGCAGAGGGGTTGGGGTGGAGCTCTTGGATTAGAAACCCTTCCATATTTTATCTTTTTGGCGGTTGGAATGGACCGCGAGGAAAGGTTGTGGAGAAAAGGGAGCGAAATGGATAGGGGAGTCTCGTTCTGGGCCTGATAGTGGATTCGTCGGTATGGCTGCCTACTTCGAGGAAGACTGGCTGCTTTGTACGAAATGGGAGGATGGGCTGGTGTCTGTGTAGATATGTAGCAGTTTTTAGAATGACGTACAAGAGCTTAGAACTTTTTGGTCAATCCAATATATTACACAGTACCCGATTAATTGCATTGTTCCTCAACTGTATCCACTAACAGTCTTCTTTTATCAATTCCAAGGAAACAGACACTCTGACCGATCGTAAAATGAACGAAACGTTACGTTCCTTTCGATTCGCCATCGCAAATCTTTCTATCGCAGACGGTCTTATCTTTTTTTCATTTTGAAATTCCATTCCGGTTCGACTTTCCTCCCTCCCTTCCTTCAGCCGTCTGTAGGCGATAAAATCGCGGAAGTTCTCCCGAGTCGCCGGGTCCAACTTCGGTCTTTCATTTCACGCTTTCACTATTAATTCCCCTCGTCTTTCCTAAGTGGTTTTCTTCGTTCGCTGTCTCCCATTCTGCCCTACCCCCCTCCCCTTTAATTCCCCTCGTCTTTCCTAAGTGCTTTTCTTCGTTCGCTGTCTCCCATTCTGCCCTCCCCCCCCCCCCTCCCCGCCGATGATAGTGGAGGAGGGGGTAGGAGGGAGATCCGAATCCCTTGACCTCGTTACGTCTTCGGCGCGAACCCTGTACACACATCCCCCGCAGGATTTTCCAATTTTGTTGCCATTAATGGGGCAAAATGAACTCCCGAGAATGATTCTCTATCGTGTTCGGACGTTGAACGGTGAATGGAGAAGAATGTTGATGAAGAAGAAAGTTGGAAAGTCTACCACCTTCGATCTACTCGGGGAAAACACTTTCCACAGAAGGGATGTGACCATTCAGAATCATTGTACAGTAACGTCTCCATAGATGGCAATATTTCGGGACCTCCGAGTGGCAATTATAGTCCCATCGAAAAAGATATGCGTTTATTGTTGGTAGTTCAATTGTTAATGAAACTTTGTGGGGTTGTAGAAGGCACCGAGTTATTCATTTTAATATTCTATCATTCTCACTCATTTTGACTAAACAGGAAATCTGCGGAAAGCTATTCTCAATTCAATCCCCACAGCCTATTGACTCCATAAGGGATTACACTTATTAGTACATCTAACAGAAAATCAACCTCCCTCGAGATCCCTAAAAAAAAATGAATAATCTTCCGTCCTAGATCACGTTCGAACGTCTCTCCAGAATTTCGCGTGGCTCTAGAAAACAAAAATCCGTTCCTGGTCGTTCGAATCTGCTGCAAAAAAATATTACAAATTGCAGCGCGATATTATATCACTTTAACTGCGACACGTCACTGCCCCCCCACCCCTCGGATCCCACGAATCCGTGGGTAGAAGGAGGATCGTAAATCACCGTACCTCTTGCAAAAAGCCGCGCTTCCCAACCGGGCCGGTTTTTGCCGTTCGAGTCGAATGAAGCCTCCCGGGGGCGGGGCCTTCGACGAAATAATGAAGAATAACTCGACACCGTGTAAAATTGACGCCCGTGGTGTTTTATCGCCCGACGACCCTCCTCGGGGCGTTTCATGGGACGTTAAATCGCGGCTGAGACGAAGAACCTCCACCGGGCACCGGAAAAATTCCATTCGAAAAGAGACGATTCTTCTTTGGTTCACTCGCGACCGCCGTTGCTCTTCCTTCCGGTCCCCGTTTTTCACCTTTAATTCTGTCGGAGAGGTCTTTGTTTCTCTCGGGACATCTGGTCGAACGAATAATTCGGTACAGTAAATTCTCGATGAGTGTTCGAAGGCTCCTCGGCATTGGACATTAAATATTTTATTAACTAATGACCGTATGCGGCTGAAACAAATATCATTGGCTTTAGAATTGCAAACAATCACTGTGCTAAACCTTATAAAAAGGCAGCGTTACACCTAGGGACAAAATTAATTTCTTGTACATAATTTAGATATTTATAGTAATCCAGGATTAACACGACGCCTTTACGAATGTATAAAAGGAACGTTCGAAAGGAAATCCTCAAATTACCACCAGTATACCGTCAACGTACAACGTAACCGACATGATGGCCATTTACCATTCGCAAAATCAAAAAAAGCATCTCACCAGACCGACACAGCCAAAATACCAAACCGACAGAACGAGCGTTCCTCCGGGGATATTTACACTTTTATTCGAGCCTGCCAGTCGGTTCGCGACGGAAAACCGGGGCTGATTGACAATGCTGTTCGATTTTTTTTCCTCCACCCTTCCCAGCCACCCTCTGATATCGATAAAACGGAAACGAAACCGTCGCACGTCACGTTCCATCTACGTTATCGAGAGAACAGCTGATCGAGATTACACGTGGTTTCGATCCTTGTGCAACGTCGAACAATTATTCGAATAATCGGAACGGAAATGCTGTTTGGAGATCCCTTCCGGTCGTGTCGCCTCGAACTAACCGTTCGAATCGGCTGTGAACGATACCTTAAACCACCAGTAATTGACTGTATACCAGTGAATGACAAGGCATAGAAATGGAAATCATAAATTTGTAATTATTAAACATTTATGAATGGAGTGTAGTTGCACTTTTAATATCCAATATTTTCAGTTTAGCGTATTAAGAAAGCATTAAAACGTTGAGTGCCACTGTATGTAGCCCTTTAACTACGCTACATTTTCCTCTAACGGAAGCCGAGTTTGCACGTCAGTGTACATACCATCTTTCGGAATATGTGACGTCGGAGAAACACACGGTGGGTGAAACGGATCGTTCGAAGAAATATCGTAACAGGGAATTTTGGATCAGTGGTGTCGGGTCGCTTCGGCTCTCGACTGTGAATTCAATCTTCTTGGGGTGTTGAGGATCTACCGTATCGCTGGGATCGGCGGATGGGAATAAGACGTCTGACTAGAATTGGGACTGTCAGAGTTGATGTTCGAGTGGCGGATAGCTGGTATACTACTTCATATTCCGTCGTTCCATTTCAAGGTGTTCATTTTGACGCCCTGTTATTGCATTCGTTGAGGAACGGGTATCGTTGGCTGTGTGTAACGCCATTATTCTTGCATCGATCATCTTTCGTTTAATCGAAGAAACGTCGTTCCTTCCAGCAATCAATACGGTTTTTGTGTTGGATACCTTACGAAAATATTGATATCACTGCCATAGGAATTGAGTAGGAATTCTTGTACAGATAAAGTACTTGAAGAAAATTCAGTTCTATTGTTCATGGTATCGATACTTACACTTGGTTGTTATGGAATTGGTATTGCTTGGTATCATTCCAAAAGTATTGAAAGTTAATACCGAATATCCGAGATTACCATGCCTTTCGATACGTCTCAGATAGTACTTACAGTAGTGGACGAAACAAGTCACCACTTTAACGATTTGTTTTACTTTTATTATTTTTTCATTCACGCTAAGAAATAATAGGAATATAAAGGATCAGAAAGGTGGTACCTTATTTTCCGCTACTTGTAGATATCGAATTGTCTATCAATATGCATCATATAAGGGGTTATGCCCTTAAACATTTGCTTAAGAATAAGTAATGACTATGAATCCCGGTCTCTGGCTCAGTATTATTTTTATTTTTTATTAACACGATAACGAAGGACATACCTGGTTTTTCTTTTCTGTCGCAGCGTCGCAAGGAACGAGGTAGAATCGCGGTCGAGAGCGTCCACGTGGTTGAAACGGCGAGCCTCGGGAGCAACGCCGGCGGCGTCGGCGGCGGCGTCGGCAGCGAGGTGGCAGGCAGCGAGGCAGGAACAGGCGGAGGCGGCGGAGGAGGAGGCGGCGGGGGTGGCGGAATACCACCTGGGCTACCGTTCCAGGTGGGCTATCGAGAAGCCGGCCAGGAGTACACGCTCTACCTTCTCGCCGCCCGCGAACAGGACCGCGCCGAGTGGATTCGTGCCATCCGTGCTGGTGAGTTGTTCTTCTTTTCTGTTCTCTTGCTTCTGTACTTCATCGTCTTCTCAGTTTCACTGTTCTTTTTTTTTTTTCGAGTCTGCTTTCTATCGGATAACCAAGATCCTTTGATCTAATGACACTATCGCAGAGCCCTTGTTCACTACAGTAAATCTTTGATGAGTGTTCGAAGGCTCCTCGGCATTGAACATTAAATATTTTATTAACTAATGGCCGTATGCGGCTGAAACAAATATCATTGGCTTCAGAATTTCAAACTGTATCACTGCTAAACCTCATTAAAAAGTCAGTGTTACATCTGAGGACCTCTCTTTGTCACTAGCGAGGAACCTTTGAACAGTTATCGAGAATTTACTGTATTCGCTACATTCGCGTCTACCATCCTAAACGATGCACCTATAAAAAAAATAATATCCTACTTCATTTACCCTCTTTATGCAGATCATATAATATTTCAAGTGTTATCTGACCGCCTTAATTGTCAATCTCACCTTCGTTCTCACCTTTTCTATGGCACCGGTAATTCCACCCGGACACGATAAAAACCGGTCGCAGGAAAGCTGCAAATTACGATCGTAAGTCAAATCTCCCCTTCCCCGCCGGTAATAAGCGCGCGACCCAGATTCTGTGTCGTCGATCTCTTTTTTTAATAGATCCCGCAGCGAAAGAACGTCGTTAACCATTGTGACTCGCGGCTCCCCCCGAAGTCGGGGGGTGGGCAGTTTCGTCCTAGTCCAGGCGTTCTTTAAGTCAGTCTTCATTAAAGTCCCCCCTGAATTAGTGTTTTCGGCCGAACGATAAAAAAAAAGACGAACAAACAACGGAAGAGGGACAGGGAACAAACCCCCTGTCGCTGGGAATTTTATTTTCATCGCTTGGTGCTCGCGCACTGCCTTCCGTTTTCCTCCCCCTACCTCCACGTTTGAAATTCGCCATTTTAACGATCGTTTACCCCGGTCGTTTCGCTTCCGCCAAAGCGGAGCAATTATTCGCTGAATTAAACTCGCTTGCCCTTTGTCACAACCGAACAGTTTTCTTCGAATTAACATCTAACAACGGAACGAGGCAATCTCCGCCAAATTTTTCGCTGCTCGACCCCCTTTCGTTCATTGTACTCTACGTGAAATTGTTCAGTTTGACGGCAATGACGGGGTTCGGTGAGAATATTGAGAACAATACAATACGGGTACATTTATCGACAGAAACGAAATATTTTTTGTTTAACATCATATTTTTACTCTTGATGATACGTTCCGTGTTATACAAATTCGCGTTATAAAATGCCGTGTTATAGAAATCCCCCGTGTTATAGAGATCCCCGTTTCATAAAAATCCCTGTTATGGAAATCCAAGTCAAAGATATCTGTGTCATAAAAATTCGTGTTACAGAAATCTCCCATGTTATAGAGATCCCTGTGTTATGAAAATCCCCGTATTATGTTAATCCGAGTCATAAACATCTGTATTATAAAAATTCGTGTTATATGGGGGTGTACTGTGTACATACACGTGTCTGCAAAATCGTTACGAATCACGGTTGACCAGGCCGCCAGTCTGGATGTGTCAACTAGTGAAATTTGGCGTAGAACTATCCAAAAATGACACGTTCCCGCAAGCCTTATAATTTCGTTTTCGAGCGTGTCTCCTTCTTCCAATTATTGCTCTATTCCATTGCCTACTCGAAACCAGGAGCGAAACTTTTGGAAAACAATCCCGTGCTCGCTCAGGGCGAACGTTTCCCGCCGAGTAGAGGCGGTCGAACTGATTACGATTAATTAAAGGCGAACTGGATCGAAGTGTTGAAACTAGTTATTGTTCGCCGGGGGCTGTAGTTTTCGTTCGAGGGAAGACACGATTGGAAAACGAGACGGGAGTGAGCTATCGACGTGGTAACAATAGGTGGCCGTTCGAGGTCGGTAAGATTGAAAAATCGTGTCTGTCTTCTTTAATCATACCAATTCGTTTTCTTCAGAAAGTTTAAGTGAAACAGATTTTTCATTTCATTTCAGACATACTTAATATCACCTTGGACACATGTTATGTAACTTCTAGGTAACATTAATTCATGTACGATTTTTGTGATAACTAGATTACGGATGTTTATGCAAATATAGATTTCCGTGGATTAATTTCTTGGACGCTCGGGTCTTTAGAGGAACTAGGAATGATTTATTAACCTGTTAGTTAATTATTGACGAAGTGTTGGCCTGTCGTCGAAACAATTTCCCTCGGTATAAAACGATTTTTCTCCTCGTCGTCGTGTTAACCCAGTTCACGTATAGAGATTCTTCGGTCCTCAAATATTTCATATCGCCCGGTGTGTACTTTCGAGGTGGCGCGTCACGTGTCTCGACGTTGAATAAATTTTCCATCGAGTCGCAACGGCCGGACGCCGCCGGTGGAAATACAAAAAGAGTTATGAATAGCAAACGAGAAAAAAAAACGAAGAGTTCACCGCGACATCTTTGTTCACGGATTCGAACACGCGGGAAATATTGCACGCGTGCTGGGTGAACGATGCCCTTGTCTACGACGAGAATATTTTTATTGGTTCTTGTTTGGTGACCGAGGAAAACTCATGGATAAACTTTTTGGTTGTGAAACATTGTTGGTTCTGGAATGTGTGTACAAGGGTCTGAAGCATTTTTTCCTATAAGAATATTGTCCCGGCGCCGACTCGAGCTCGGGACAATAATCGAGACGCGTCTGTATTCATTTGTTCTCTTTCTCGTGCATTGAAAAACCGACAGAATTTAACGTAGTGCTTCGTTGTGGCGGTCGGAAGCGTTAACTCTGCGTTTCGAACACTTCGTGAAATCGTGTCTTTCCGTGGTCGATTGTTTCGTCAGACGAAGTTCTTGCCCGTGAAGTAACGTCACCCGGGATGACGACAACGAGTCCTTGTTGCCCTAGCGGCGTGGAACGAGGACGGGACGAAAGTTATCCCGCAGAAATTACACTACAAAGCACCAAGTTCCCAGCGGAGCTCGCCCGGCTTTTGTTCATGATACATGGCTCCTTCGATACTCTATTCGTCAACTTCGAAGACGCGTCGAAGTTGCGGTCCAACTATTCTTACCATCGCGTGTAACCTGTTCTTGAAACCGTCGTCTTGATCGTCGAGGATGACACGTTCGAATATTGTAATTTCCGAACCGCTCGACGAACTCGAACGATCTTTGAATTTATTTAGATAATTTTATTAGTTTCGTAATTGAACATACGGATGAAGCATACCACAAGTAGAACGCAGAACGTTGACGTTTGGATAATAAATTAGGACACGTTTAGAGATATGGACGTACGATAAAAATATGTCTCACGATCCTTAATACTAGAATTACCAAAGTGGTCAAGAATTACTGGTTCATAAACTCTTATAAAAATTATTATCACGCCATAAACCGGGCATTTTTGGAGGTTCTTCGCAACTGTTATTGTAATATACAGTGTGTCCCATGAACTCTGTCCACCTGAAATATCTTCTTTACTTCAATTAATATGTGGGAATGTTATTAATGAAAATTGTTGGATTTAAAGAAATATATGATACTGTAGTAATGGTTTCGTGGTAGGTGGACGGTTCTTAAATAGAATGTCTAATTTTTTATGCTTGATTTTAACAGAGTATCGAATTCTCAGTATAAAGGTACTAAGGTACATTTATTCTAAAACTCACCGTTTCTAAGATACTTGACTTTGTCCAACCTATTCATTTTCTAAATTCTCTTACATCCTATTAACCATCTGCAATGTCAATGAACATAGTTGATAGAAAGAATTTAGTTAACACTAAATCCAAAACATCCCTGTACAATTCTATTTCATTAATTTTCCAGTGAATCATCAACTTCCCAACGATCTGCAATCAATCCTCAACATTCATAAAGTTTTACAGTTACCTTCCAGCGTCTTCTCATCGAAACATTTTTTAACGATCACGATACAGTAAATCGAACCAACAACTTTCCAAAGATCTGCAATTAATCCCCTACATTCATCAAGTTTTCCGGTATTACGTTCAAACGTTTTTGCCATCGAAGTTCGTCCATTTCTTTTTTTTTCAACGATAACGATACTGTAAATCCTTTCGGCGTCGAAAATAGAAAAATCTCGCCACGCTAAGGGCGGTTCGAATCCTGAAGATCGAGCGATCGTGAGCAATTTTTCTCGAAGAATATACGACCGTCGTTGTGGCGGATCCGACGAGAAACTTAACGGCGGTATCGGTTCCCTCCGTTCGCCGAAGTTGATTCACGCGCCGGAAGTCGCGTCAGAAATCACCGCGGATCGATCCCTTCTCCCTTCCTTTCTGATATCGCTGACGTATCGCGATTCGTGGTTCTCCCGTGATGGATTTGTCGCCGCCGCCGTGGCTCGGCACGAAGTTTTAACGAGTTTCCCCAAGAATCTCGGCCGACGTCGATCGGTTATTATTCCGGAAATGGAATATCCTCGAGTTTTTCCGCTTTTCGCGCGATCGATTTAGTATTCGACGGAGCTTCGATTCGAATATTTTTCTTCCTTGCCTGTGTACATCACGGATTCTATTGTTTAATTTACTATTTATGACAGAATAATATTTCTGAGGAGAAAAATGTGTCAAATTGACACAAGGGAGGGATGAGGGTTAAATTATTTTTACGTGCTGGAAAAGTATGTATGATGAAACAATAATTACTTTGTACGTGTTGAGAAAGTATACAATTCCCTGTAACAAACACGTTTATAACATCGAAAAGAAAGACTTTATGACGAGCGTTCCATAGTTCTCGAACAATAACAACAACGAACGCTACTGTTCACTATTCTGATTGACCCACGGGTGTTGTTTCAACGAACAAAGTCAAAGTTCCGATTGGTTTCATGGACATGATGCAATCTATTGTGGAGGCCACGAGCAGTTTGTTGGGTTCTGTATTTCTGCCCGAAAAAACGATATTACGCTTGACAGTCTCGGAACTATGGAGTTTATTTTGAAAAAAAAAAAAAGATTA